GGGACAAGGGCTGGTGACAATTGCTGAGGAGCACACGCAAAACAAATGCCATGGGGACTGCAGCCTGGCCAGGGCACCAGACACTCAGAGACCCAGCAAGCACCAGTGGCCCCCAGGCTTCTGTGGACTTGGACTGAGAGGGTATAAAAGCCCAGGGGTGCCTTTGTTCAAGGTCCCTTCTGGGAGGCACCAACTCAGGTTGTTAATTTGTTATTTAATTGTTAATTTGTTATTGAATTTTCCACCAAGATTAAATTATTTAAAGGATCCCCACATCATTTGTTCTGTTCTGGGGAACACAGGGTCCAGCTGGTCAGGAAACCTGTTCTGACTGTGGGAGTGTGGGGTGTGTAGCCATGAAGGGGCCTGAGTCCCAGCTCAGCTGGTTTGGTGTGGCAGTGACTGCCAGGGTGGGTCCTGGATGGTTAGAGGGGGAAGTTTCCTTAATAGTGATGATCCCTAGAATCTGTGGAGAAGATGGGTGGGAGCTCTAAAGCATCTGGTTACCACAGTTACTTCAAAGAAGGCTTGTGACTCAGTCCTCAGCCATGCTTACTCAACTTTAAAGACACATATAGACACAAGAATTAAAAACTGCCAGCTGTGCACTGCCCTTCTTTCTGGCATATGCTCACCTAGTCCTTCGGGATGTTACAGAACAAGCTGTATTTCTTTACAAAGGCATCTATGCAGCAGTGGGGGAAGACCTTGGAAAATCCTTTTAATCTTAACACAATAATTTTTCATCTCTTGCCATGATTAATGCTTTGTTTTCTACCATACCGTGCACAGTAAATGATATAACGTTCCTAATAACTTTTATTATTAATTGTTTTGATCAATTTTCTAATTAATTGCTTTAAATAATAATAAGCAGTGCAATTATCCACTCTGTCACATACCACTGTAGCCAGCATTTAGCAAGGTTTGTGATAAGCTGCTATTGTGGGAACACAGTTTGGGAAAATTAATGAAACTCTAAGCTTTACTAAAGCAGTTGTAATCAACTTGATATGCTTCTGGACCTGGAAGGAGGTTAATAAAGCCCTGGGAGAGATCTATATTGCTAAAATGGGGCACAAGAAATGCAGAATTCATGGACGACAAGGATATTTTTCAGAGCCCTGAGATAAAAAGGAAACTAACTAAGACAATTCAGCAATTGTCCTGAAATCCAGTCTGGGTGGACTAATTAGCATAAGAAGTGAGAAATCAATAACTAATAGAAGACAGAATGCTAACTAATGAAGAAAATTACATAATTCATGAACATTAATGAGCCAATGATCATTAACTTGTTTTGTAAAATGTATAAATAATGAAAAGTTTTAAAAGTGCTTGTGTATGTTAGGTGGAGTTATCCCCATGCACTCACAATGCTGAATAAAATAATGCTGACTTTCTAACCTATCAAACTGGTTGGAGAGTTTATTTCTAAAAATCTAGATGATCTTTAAGGTTCCTTCTGTTCCAAACCATTTTATGATTCCATGATGTTGCTCTAAAGAAATTAAAATTGGCCTGCTCTATATTTCAAGTCCTATTCCAGATCTTAAAAAGTTGATCCTAGGATTCAAGAGTGGTCTTGAATAATGCCTTGGTAGTACAGTAGTCCAGGCTAAAATGCACACATTTTCTTCATTGTCAGCAAAGAGCCCATGAGCGTTAAATGATTTTTATTTGCTCAAGAAGCCTTTATCTATATTTTTATCAGTTATTTGCCATTTTAATAGGGCAAAGGTAATTTTATGATCAGATTATTTGTGGCATGAAGTTCTCTTGTGGGGCTGAGTTCTTCATCTCCTCTGTCTATTCAGTACAACAATAGTAGCATTCTAATTAATACTACACCAATATCAATATTTTTCAATTCTAGTATGGTAAAAAATCTTTACTTTTCTAAGTGGATTTGAAGGCTTCCCAGAAAATATATCTGCTCTTTCTTCTTGCATCACACCTAAAAGAATGATGACCAAGGAAAGAATAAGAATAAACATACTTATCTAGAATGCACATGCTACCTATTTTCCCTCTCAGAATAACATCTGGATTTTCTTCAGAGTGCCTGGCTGTGTCACTAGAAAATACATGCCAAAAAATATCCAAGTCAGCTGTTCATTGCAAAGCATCTGCAGCTTTGGGCTTGTGGGAATCCCTTGAGTTATGGCAGATGGAGCACCAGGGAGCAGGAGGGGAGGGGAAGAAAGAGTAGGCAAAACCCCCAAATCCTTGTGCTGCACTGTTAGCATGAAAGAAAAAAATAAACCCAAAATTAGAGTAGAAATGAAGATATATCGCTTCATTCAAATAATCAGAACTGCAGTTACATACAGAAGAAACACAATTTTGTTAATCTCATTACAGATCTTTAAAATGATATCATTCAGCATTCACACATATCTATCATTACTACATATAAAATTAAGACTGAAAAATCTTTCTTCCACATCTTTCTTCCTGTTGCCAAGTTTCTACAAGCTATCACCTTGTCATTAACTGTCACAGTTTTAGTTCAAAGTCAAATATACCTTTAGGGGATAAAGACCTTTTACCTTCCCTGCTGAGATCACTGACTGCCTTCATCAACAATCCCAGGAGAATTGATTGAAGACTTGGATTTTAAACAATCCCATTGACCTGGGATCAAACTGATTTGAATTATATTATTCTGGTTCATAAATTCATTATGAACCGTTAAAAAAGTCAGAAAACCCATTATCTAAACTATCTTAGTAGAGCAGCAAACACAGCATACTTTTCCACAAAAACCTAAAAGAGAAGGTCTATCAAGTCAAACCAACAGTTTAATATTCTGTCTCCAACAGTGGCAATGGGCAATACTGTGTAATACCTGAGCCATTATCTGCTGTCCATTGATCTCATTTTCCCTCAGCATCTGCAGTCACTGGATCAGGGATGGTCACGATATTTACCTATACACTTACCTCTTTATGTATTAGATTATAGCTGTAAGAGGTTACATGCCTCTCATCATCTGTTTATAGACCTTTAGTCCTTGAATTTCTCTTGAACTCTCTCTAGAGAGAAATATCTGACCACAAAATAAATTACTAGGATCAGCCTTAGAGTTAGATATCAAATGCCGTGGCCAAGAGAATATTCAGACTAGAAGACATTTATGGTAGAAAACTGTTCACTGCTCCTGCTGAAGCCAGGCTGCAGCATAACAAGGAACATGAGGCCAAAAGGAGAGCACCAGGCCGTGATAGAGAAATCCTGTGGCTGCACTCCATGTACCTGTGACTTTTCATGTACCTACCACAAGACAATTAAATAAAAGACTGAAACAATTCCAGAGCAAATATCAGGAGCCCCCTTGCAGTTCTGGCCCTTAGCTTCTGCAGATGAACGAAGTCCACTCAGAAACAGAAAGCAAAGAGAAAGTCTCACTGCAGTTTCTGAGAAAAAAAAAAATTAAAATAAATATTTTTTTTTAAAAAAGAGGATATCAGGGAAAAAAAATAAAACCAAACAGCCCCAACTAAACCCCCAAAACTCTTTTCTCTTAAACCCTCTTAAAGTCTGAAGGGAAGCTAAGAAACAGTTGCAAGCCAAGACATGTTTGCTTTCTTGAGCTGAATTTCTATTTTGAAAATAGAAATTCACAGGGGTAGAACAAAGCAGCCTCACTTTTAGTGTTTATTCATTTGTGGTCTACGAACTGTTAGTTAGCTTCATCAGCATTGCCCAATCAAAATCAAATGTGACACAAGAGTCACTGAAGACACAATTTGAAAACAGGAGGCTGGGAGCATTTTTGCAGCTGACACAACCACAGATCTATTACTCGCCCTTTAAGAAAGTGTACAGCTTTGCTGAGGTTGAAGACATATGTTTATTAGACATAAACAGAACTAGTTTGCATTTAAAAAAATCAGTTGAAGTCTGAAAGAGTTTGGCAATGGACTAAAGGCTGGGCTCACTTTGGACGCTCTCTCTAGTCACACTTTTCTTAAAGTTTTTCTCTTCTGAGAGGAACTGCACTTCAAATACTGGGCTGCTCTTCTCCCAGATGTCCTGCAGGTCAGGCTGCTCTAATACTTCCTAAAGTTAATGTCCTTTCCTCAGTCCTGAGGCTGAGGCTTCTCATAAAAGAAACAATGCCAGGTTCAGCACAGAGCTTTCGGTAAAGGACTAAACAAAAAGCTGACAGTGGTTTCTGGGTTACACTTTCAGAAGGGTACATTTTGTTCTTCTTGGTGTCAGTCCAAAATAACTTCAGTCTAGAGCTTACAGGAATTCATGCTGGCTTACACCATTGGACGTGAAAGTGGACTGGTGTCCAAAGACAAATACATTTTGTTGGTGAAGATATAAAGTTTGAATTCAAAACTCTCATATCCTCTGCTAAGTGGTAGCATCAGCCTTCAGTAGCATCACTCACTTAAAAAAGCATGGCACTTGTGCCAGAAATATCTGGCTATTTTTATTCTATATTCTATTTCATCAGCATAAAGAAGCTGAAGCACTGAATTTGATTTTAATCTGTCTGGAAAAGATCTGTCTTCTCATTTTATGAGGTTTCAATCCGGATTTTAGCAACATTTTTGTTTTAAAAAATTAACATGGCACTTAATTGATCTTTGGTTTGTTTTTAGCTAACATGGATGAAAATCTACTTTTTTTTCTACTTTGCAGTTTTCTGTAACTCATTCTGATAAATGAAGACACATCATGTAAGCTCTATAACTATTCATTATTCCTTTGCTGACATCTTTATATTGAGCATACAGGTGTAAGAGAACAATTTCCTTACACTGATGTTCGGAATATGGAAGGTTTGCATTACCATAATGTGGAATGCAACATTGTTTTTTTCCCCCAGGAATAAACAAAGAGACATATAACAATAATTTCTCACTAACAAGAGTAGCTGAGATGCAATAAAGACGAGTCAGCCACAAAATAATTACTTTAAAGATACACCTGGGTATTTTTTTATTTATTCTTTTTCTTTGCCTGTTTTGCTTTGTTTTCGTTTTGTTTTTTTATTTATTTTTAATTTAGAGACAGACATTAGGAGGCCAGGATATACTTAGGCAAACTGAGAATAGAGAGTTCCTAAATGCACAGTGCACTAGGCAATTGTCTTTTCTGGGACATGTGAATAAGATATAAAATAATGTATGGTTTTGGAAAAGCACTTTCTACTCATCATAGCAACGTAAATAACAGCATTTTAAAACTAATGACTATAGCATATGAAGTTCTTTGTCCTCCTAATTTGAATTTTTTGTAGTCTAAAATAATTTCCTAATAGTGAATTGTTAAACTAGGGTATTAAGGCCTTGTGAACACAAAAGTGACACTGCTCTGAAACCTTCTGCTGTTTGAGAGAAAAAGATTCAAAAAGCAGTAACAGTTATGAAAGGAGGGAAAAGGTGGCATTTGTACTTGGTCCATTGCATACTGGAAAAGAAATATTATCTTTGTGAGTCCACTTCTGATCAAATTTAAATGAAATAGGCCACAGTGGGCACAGTCTGTTTTTACACTATCCAGCTTTGAAAACCTGATCTTCTGCACTTTATGAAGAAACAGTATCTAAAGATAACTTCAAGGTAGCCCTGTTTCAAGCAAATATTTTGACTAGCTGATCTCTCAAGGCCATAGATTCATCAAATCATAGAATATCTCGAGATGGAAAAGACCCATATCCATCACTGAGTCCAACCCCTGCTCCCCACAGGAGTACCTGAAACTAAACCATATTACTAAGAGCACTGTCCAGACGCTCCTTGGACTCTGACAGGCTGGGTGCCATGACCACTTCCCTGAGGAGCCTGTGACCAAACGCCTTCTCAGTGCAAAGCATTTTCTTAATGTCCAAGGACCCGTCCTTTCCAACCTTCAAAGTGTGATCCTACAAAACCCCAGGGCTGTGAACTCACTGACAGGGTCCGCCAAGCAAAGGCAGGATGTCCAGGACAAACGAGGAGCTACAGAGGGATACTTAGGGATAATTTTTTTCATTCTACACTCCCAAGAAAACTCTTGGTGTGAAGGTGACTGGGACAGGAGAAATCAATGTACATCTAATGCTCAGGGTCCTTTCAAACAAAACAGTTTTATGGAAAACCCTCACATTTTTTACTCCAGTGGAAGGAAATCTTCATCTCCCCACCTTCTGCAATTTTTCTACATGTATGAAATTCCAAAAGAATATGCTATTTGAATTAAAAAGGACCAAAAATATTTTACTCAGGAGCTTGTGACACCATTTTATTGTATTGTGTAGCATTCTTTCCATGACATGCCTAATACAATATTTGTAACCACTACTGAAAGGCTTGTATGAGGGCATTAACTGAACTTACAGCCAAATTTGATAACCAATAAGCAGACAGACAGCTACAGTTCTCATTTTCTTTTTTTTTTTTTTTTAAGTGAGCATTTTATGTCCAAAATAGCATCCCAGGATTAGAGCAATCTCACTGTCTGTAACTTTATTATGCTCTAGGTAAATATGAACATACAGTGAAAACCTCACGGCTGAGTGGAAGTCCACAAGCATTTTGATGGAAGATTCATATGTGTCTAACATATGTACATTTTGGTAGTAACACTTGTCATAGCTAAATGCAGATATATTTGTGCTTACAGATGCTTTATTTCCCTAATTTATTTGAAAAACATATACCCCATAAAACTAAAACCAGAATTTGTGGGATTTTTCTAAAGTATATGTCAAAAAGAGGTTTGTGAAGGTCTGGGGTCTGTTCTGCTGCTCCATTTTTTTTTTTTGTGTAGGTCATATATAAGTTTTAGTTCTAAAAGTGAAATAATTTCTCTTAAGTGACAGTCGTTTCAGTGTAGGCCTTCCCTGTCAGGTTTCCAAAAATCACCTTGAATGCTAGCCCAATGATGCTAGATTACCAAATTACATATCCTGTGCCATTTTAATGTCCTACACAGAAAATTGTCTCTACCTCTCCCCCCCCAAAAATATCCCAAAGCAAACAACAGCTGCAGAATAAATTTGTTAAGCTTCTACAAATAATCGGCAATACTGGGGAACTGGTGTTTTCTGTACTTTTGAATGGTTGACCTTACATGACCTTTATTTTGTTTCTCTCTTATTCAGGGAGAAAAATTATTTGTTTTCTTATCTGACTGCATCAGGGCTAACTGAAATAAAACACTGCATTACATTGGGGGAAAAAAAACATATCCCAAACTACATATACAGTCTTAGATACCAAGAACTTTACAAGTAATTTCTCTGCTGACACTCAAAACTTCTATCATCATCATGCCTCGTCTTAAAAAACATTAAACTTCTTTTTCTGAGAAAAAATACATGGGGGCAGAGACAGAAGTACTGAATTTCAGAAAGAATTTGTGGATTACTAGTCTGGCAATTATACTTCAGAGTTGACACTCCATTGTGTGGGTCAGTGCAAGGTAGCTCTGCAAATGTGTGCCTTGCAAATGAGAAAAAAAATCCAGTTTGTAACTATTGAGAAACATGATAAGATAGTTAAAACATAGCAAAAAGTAAACATTTACTGGATTATTTAAAGTACATTACTAGAACCAACAGAACATACCTTTAAACATGTATAAAGTATTATACATAAAAATGCATAGATGTACAGTAAATATGTTCATTTATATGTAGACAGAGTAATATGTACACACAGTCTGTTGTGCTTGGGTGAGTCTGAGCAGTGAATCCTGCAGCACGTTGTCTTAAAGCAGTTTTATTTCACAACTGTGTCAACGTAGCAGATGTGAGAACAATGTACATTACCACTCCGTAGGTAAGTCATATCCATTTACTCTTGAAATGTACAAATATAGGAAACAAAGGCCATAAATCCAATTGTACCTCCAAGACTTCCTTTTCCCCCTGTTTATTTAAATATGCACAAGTCCACCTCCTAGTGCTGTGTAGGTTTCTTTCCTTGCCAACATGTTGACCAGGCACTCAGAACAATGTTGCTGATGCACTTCAGGACAACTTCCACTGATCCAACTCAGTGCACTCCTGACCTTGAAGTCTTCAGGTCAAAAATGAGAGGAAAATATAAAATAAAAAATATATAAATAAAGCAAACAAGCTTGTGGGCTTTATTTTCACAAGTTATTTGCCACCAATACTGTCAAAGCAGCTGAATTGTAGTGCATCCATGGGCAGGAGCATATAGCAGCTTTTGTGCACTTTGCAAAAAAAAATACATTAAGGAAATTCAAGTCTTTACTGGCTTGTTTTATCTGTTGCTAAAAAGATGCTGTGCTGCTTCTGAGCCCTTTCCATCAAATTCTTTTTCTTCTTTTTTTTGTCCTTCGTTTTTGCTGGCTTTCTCCCTAAAGAAAAAAAAAAGGAAAAACAAATAATACCAATGAGTCAAGTAAAGAATCCAGAAGTGACAAAAAACCCAACAAAAACTACTCAGTGGAAGAGAAATTATCAGTAGGGACTGCAATGGTAATGTTGGCTAAAGAGCTTCAATCATCAGTGAAAACAGAAGTTTTCAGTGTGTTACAAAAGGAAGCAGGATCCCTGACTGTCATCACTTGTCCACAGGCACAATTTTTCTGGTATGAGTAACCATGTTGATGCAGGTTTCATTTTTGGCAGGGTAAGTTGCACAAGCAACGTTATGCAAGTGCCCAAGGCCCAGAGCCAAATGAGAATGCAGGCTCCTTACCCACTGGAAGCTGGATATACGCCTTAGACCCTTGTGTAAATTTGTTTGAGTGAGTAATCCTATTTAAGTCATGTCCAACACATCTGTGATTTCAATGAGAAATTTGGCATTACAGCCCAAGAACCTGGTTGGGTGCCATCCTACCTGCTTTGGCAGAGACAGTACCAGAACTCTTGATATTGCTTATTAGTACATTGTGCCTAATTCTCACAGTATATAACTGTGCAGAAAAAAAAAAATAATTACATGCTTCTACTATTGAAAGTTCATTGAAAAATAAACAAAATTGGGAAATCACCATCAATTCAGAAAAAAACAATGTTTAAAAGCTTTTTGAATAAGAAAGATTTTCCTGTTTAGCTCTAATAATAAATCAGTGCCCTTTGGTTATCTCAGCAAAGATAGCATGGACAGAAAAAATGTCAGATACAAAGGCCCTCATTGAGCAGCGTATTACCTTTTAAGTATATGCTTAAATCCTATCAAGTCTAGTAGGATTTAAGGAGACGACCAAATGTTGTCGGATGTGAGAATGGTCTGGATTTTCTTGGCAGTATCATATACTAAAATATGTGATCAATGGTAAAAAAATAAGGTTATTAAACTCTAGAAGCGCCAACTTTATAAACTTTCAGGAGCACTTAATGAACTTAAGAAGACAGTAAAAAGAAATTCAAATAGCAGATTACAGAAAAATGTGAAAATGCATTTTTAATCTACATTGTCAGTACTTTATTTATAGGAAAAAGTGTTTGCCAGTCTGGTTTTGTCTTATTTCCATATTGTTTCTTAATTTAAAAGGCCCAAACCTGTGCAAAGAGTTTTTCTCTATTTGATAATAATACTGAATAAATCTGATTATAAAATTATCAAAATTTATGATTCATTAAAAATATGTACATACTTCAGATTACACATTCGTAATACACTTTCTAGGCTACTGTTCTCTAGGAATTATTGGAGTACTTGTGTATAAAACAGGACAGGACATTAAGGTAACAAGCACATGAGTTTAGTCCATATTAAAAATCATAAGTGTCCTTGGGGTTTACTTCTGCTTCTCATTAAAGTCTGGCATTAAAGTTACTATGGCATTTTGCCATTTTTAAATCTAGTTAATCCTACACAATAAATCCCCAGTCCAACCAAGTATTAATCAAAGCAGCTTTTAAGTTAAAACTCTTTAGTAACAGTGTATCTAATGACGAGGGGCACCTAATGAGGTCAGAGGGAAGGAACACTTGACACAAAGTGGCATTACAATAAGGTGGTTTGAATTACAGAAATTTCAATACAATATTTTTTTATGGAATTCTACTGGTTGGTATATTTTAAGACATCACAACTTGGATGAATGTTTTTCTCAACCCTGTATTCTCACTTGCACTTTCAATATGTTAAATATTTTTACCCAAATCTTTGAAGTGCTTATTAAGGAGGGGTAGATGAGGGGAAATAATATGAGAGAAATGACCAATTCTGCTGGTCAATTGATTCTCACAAGACAAGCAGAATCTACAGGAGCTTTACTGGAAATTTCCTACCCAGTTTGCTCAGTGATCTTACCCTCTGGGGTTTTTCACTAAATAGACTAATCAGTAAAAGAAATATAAACTTCAGTGTCTCATCTAGTTTCTCTATGACCTTCTCCAGAGAACTAGATTAATTGCTTACTATAAGTTAAAGGTAGTGAAAGATTCTATTATTTTTCCTCTAAAAACTGTGACTTGAGCTGATAAAACACAGTTCGTATCTCTAGCTAAGCCTTAGAAAGTAGCTCCTGCAATACAAACATCAAACCAAATTGCCAGCACACTCCCCATATGAAATCTTTAAAATAGAAATGAATCGGTCTAGAGCTCAATGATTTGGCATTGCTGTGCAACGAGCACATTGCAATGCTTCTGCTGCTCTGCAGCAATTGTCTCCCTACCTGCTTTCTTATTCCAAGGGACAACAAAGGCTAATTAACTTCTACCTGTGCTGTGGACTAGCTACCCATGCAGAGGCAGCATCCCTGAGCCACTGATAAATGATAGCTTGTTCTTTTGTTAGGAGCTTTTTGGCTGCTCACCATATCTCAAATTGTCCTGTTATGCAGATTAAGTTTCATTATTTTCAGGACAATATTAAACCACAAAGAGAAAATCTAGATGATTTGGTGATGCTGAGAGTTCCAAATTCCAAACGTCATTTTAACCAGAAAACTGAATATAAAAGGTATTTCTTGGGTAACCATCAGTTCCCATACTGTTAGTAGAACATCACAGAGATTAGAGATTAGCAAGAAAAAACTGATTATGAGAACTAGAGTTCAAACAAAGTATGCTGCTGAAGTCCCCATGCATTCTTTATTGTGAGGGTAGTGAGGAACAGGTTGTCCAGAGAAGTTGTGCCTGCCCCACCCCTGGATGTGTTCATGGCCAAGGATGGATGAGGCTTTGAACAACCCAGTCTAGTGGAAGGTGTCCCTGCCCATGGCAGGGAGTTCGGAAGTAAATTATGTGTAAGTCCAACCCAAACCATGCTTAAGTCTGATCCAATTACCCTATGAACCTCTCCTGATCAGAAGCAGTATCCAAGCAAGCAAACAATCCATTGCAACTGCCTAGAATCCACAGTCAGCACTGATCTTTTAAGTGACATTACATCTTTCCTGGTGGAAGGATGCTCATCTGCTTGTTGTCTGGCAGATGGCAATGCACCTTGCTACTGCTTCCTGAGTTATAGGTCTCCAGGTTTCATCTTCAATCTTTCTTTTATGACTGCTGTCTTTTATTTTTAAGACTTTAATGCTAGCAGCAAAGGGAACAAATACAAATAATTCATGCTAAGAGCAGGATATCTGAGCACTGTCCAGATATACAGCACGCTGTATTCTTATATTTATTTTAGCTGTGTTTTCCCTTGCATACAAACTAGGTAACTAGCTTTTTGTTGGAAGGCATTTTTTTTATCTCTGACTGTCCAAAAACAGGCTACTCAATTTCTGTATCAAAGTCAGCTCTGAACATGATTTACATCATTTGTTTAGTTCTCTGTAAAGTCATATGTTTACACTGAAATCTATAGGGCCCAAGAAAGATGTGAAATGCAGCTGAATTCAGTGTTCAACTTTCTACTAAAAAGAAGCCTTGAAAGCCCAATGTATCATTCTATATCTTGCATTTCTGCACAGGTTATTTCTGTAGAAGCAATACTGTGATTCAAACTATTAATTCCAATTTTTTAAAATTCAGTTTTGCAATTTGCTTTATAAATTACCAATGAGTAAGTCTTTATCTTGTAAGTAACTTATCCCAATGGGTTGTGTCTTTAATGTGTTATTCATTAAACTTTTGTTTTGACCACTTAGTTCTGGTAGGTATCTAGGCAACTAATATGCTATGCAATGAAATATTACAACGTATTTTAATGGCAACATTAAATGGTAATGGTCCAACATAGGTTATCATGCAATTAGAACATGCATTCCTTGAAAAAAACCCGCATTATTTATGCCCAGCAACTGTCCATACACCAAAGAGTAACAGCTACAAAAAAAAAAAAACAAAACAAAAAGAACCTTAAACTGGATCTTGCTGGGTTATTTTTTTTTCATTTCACATTGCTTTTGTACCATTTTATCAGCACTCCTCCTACAAGTCATGCACTTGTGTTCAGTTTTCTGGTTTGTCTCATACCCCAAGCTGAAAGATGCTTGGAAATACTGGGTATCCCTTCTGCATGGACCCACCTGGCCAACTGGGGATACACATTACCTGGTTCAGAAGGAGCCTTTATCACCTTCTGGCAGCTGCAAAGGCAGCTTTCTCCAGACAGAATTTGAGCAGCAGATTGCTAACACCCAGGGCAGTCCTGGCCCTCCAGAGTTAAAAGGCAGCAAATGTATTCACAGGGACTCCCAGCCACATTTCTTGAGATTCTGGACTCAGCCAGAGAGCACCAGTTCAGTGCCTGAACTGTCCATCTGGTGTGTAAACACCGCTGCACGTACTGCTGTCCTAAGGAATCCCGTCCATTGGGAGTTTTAGCAGAGAAAGTATAGTGTGCAGCCACATGAGGGCAGCAAATTTAAAACTTTTAATAAAAGGCAAGAAATAAACAACCATCTGCAGTTTTATTTCACTGTGTAATTTCAGCAGTCTTATGTACAAATAAATTTATATTCCCTTAATATTCGCTTCCTTATTTAAAACATTTTTCTCTTCTATTGATGATTACTGAATGATGGGATTTACATGCGCGGGCCTTATTCCCTTCTGGATTTTCATGCACAGAACTTTCAGTACTAGTAGCAAGGCACAGAGGAATCCTAAGGTAAGAGCAGACCCTGCTAAATACACCTTTTATTCTTTCCTCCCCTTTCACTTGTCCTTTAAGGAGAAAAATGCTGCATGTTTGTACATCATGCTCCTACAGACACAGCTCTACCACAGACCTCGTGTACGGCAGCATTTCATCCATATGGAAAGCTAGAAAAGTTATTAGCAAGACATATCACTGAAGGATGGCAACATTAGGGAACTAATGACAGCAGAGGAAAGATGATGGATACTCAATGATTAATCAGTCAATGATGTAATCCTAAGAGAAAGATGGCAGATCACAGAATCATAGAATAGAATAACTAAGGTTGGAAAGGTCATCTAAGAT